CCAAAGAAAGGGAGGGAAAACATGTTACAAACCACAATCCACCCAGGCCTGCTCAGAGTGTCTGGTGACCAATGTATCTGTTGTGGTTTTCCAGCCTATTGCCTTCTCTGTAAGATACAGAGTACAGGCTGGACTCTCATTCCTGTGAGAACTAAGAATAATCGGCAGTAACCCAGTTATTTCTCAGGTGAACAGATCAGCTGAGAAGAAAGCAAAGTTGGAAACTTCCTAGGAATTTTCAGGTAGACTATGCAAATGCACCAAACCTTTAAGATGCCATTCAATGAGCACGCAGCAGGACCTGGTACTGTATGGGAGTTCCCAGGTGGTACAAACCAAAAGGTTGGAGGTTCCAGTCCACCCAGAGGTACCTCAGAACAAAGGCCTGGAGATTTACTTGTGAAAAAGCAGCCAGTGAAAACTCTATGAAGCAAAGTTCTACTCTGACACACATGGGGTCTCCATGAGTCAGAATAGACTCAGATAGCAACTGATTGGTCTCTTTATCCAAGTATACTTTAAAAACCCTGCCTATATCTTCAAAAAACCAAAAACAGGACTACCATGTGACCCAGCAATTCCACTCCTGGATATATACCAAAACTTGAAAGCAGAGACTCAGAGATTTGTACACCAATGTTCACTGCAGCACTATTTACAATCGTCAAAAGGTGAAAAAAACCTAAATGCCCATCAATAGATGAATGGAGAAACAAATGTGGTACATACATACAATGAAATACTACTCAGTCAGTAGGAGAAATGAAGTCTTGATACATGCTACAATATGGATGGAGCTGAATGACATTATGCTGAGTGAAGTCAGTCAATCACAAAAGGACAAATATTGTATGACCTCACATAAAAAGACAAGAAAAGAGAAACATACAATCAACAAATTATTAGTAGTTACCAGGGGCAGGAGGGCAGGGGAGGGGCAGTTAACGGTGATGGAAATATTGCATTGACTAAGGGTAGGGTTGCACAGCTGATTACCGTCATTGCTGTCAATAAGTTGTACACCTGTAAAAAGTTGAATTGGCAAAAGTTGTGTGATAGATATATTTATAACAACGACCAAAAAAAAAAAAAAGAGTAGCTGCTGAGACTGCTTACGTATAACCAAAAACCTCATGGGATTTGGTTTCTTGTTTGGAGGTTTAGGGTCATGGTTGCATGGGACATCCCTGATAACTGGCCTAATAACATGTTTAGTGCTTCTGTTCTACCTCCTAGTTCTTTGCGTAGTGACTGGGGTCTTAAAAGTTTGCAAGCAGCCATCCAAGGCACAACAATTGGTCTCTATTCGCCTGGAGCAACACAGAAAAGAGGAGAGTCAGGAATAGAAGGAGGATATGGAATGTGTAGCTAATTCCCTCCATGAACAACTGCCTCCTTTGCCATGAGACCAGAAGAACTGGATGGTGCCTGGCTACCATTACTGAACATTGTGATCAAAGATTCTATAAAAGAATCCTGATCAAACAGGAAAATGCAGAACAGAATTTTCAAATTCTCATGGACTCCAGACTTCCTAGAGCCACGAAAGTTGGATGAACCCCTGAAACTACTGCCGTGAGATAATCTTTAAACCTTAAACCAAGAATATCCCTGAAGTCTTCTTAAAACCAAACAACAGTTTAGCTTACCTAGTAAAAAAATGTCTGCCTTGAGCATTAAGCTCTTTTAAGATGCTTATGGGATCAAACTGACAACCAAAAAACGCACTGCCGTCGAGTTGATTCTGACTCATAGCAACCCTATAGGACAGGGAAGAATTGCCCCATGGGGTTTCCAAGGAGCTGCTGGTGGATTAGAACTTCTGGCCTTTTGGTTAGCGGCTGAACATTTAACCACTGTGCCACCAGGGCTTTTTGAAATATTAGATAGGAACCTTAGGGGGCAGTGAATTTATGTTAATGGGGGAGGAACAACTCAGAAAAGGAGGGTGAGAATGGTTGCACAACTCAAAGAATGTAATCAATGTCACTAAATGGTACATGTAGAAACTGTTGAATCGGTGTCTGTTTTGCTGTATTTTCAACAACAAAATAAATAAAATTAACAAAAAAAAACTGCCTATGCTTTAAAAATGTATTTCTTCTTTGCTATTCATAGATACAACACAAGAAGGCCTTTGTTACATACTTAACCCGTGGTTCCCACCTTGAAACCTAGTCCTCCGAACTGGCCCCAGGACATGGAGGTGGGGGAAAAAGAGGAGGACACAGGAAATTTGAAGACAGAAGTACTAGTGTGGGAAAATTTGGAGGAGGGATTCACATTGTGTCTGTGCTCCAAATTTGGCTGACTTACAAAATTACTGTTTCTAGCACTGGGCACTCTTTCCAATAAAGTGGTTCCTCCAGTTTCTGTTTAAAGCTTTCAGCTTCAAATGACATACAAAAGTTAAAATGTGTTGAATATTTTGATACTGTTCTAAGCACTCTCCATGTATATCCAAAGGCCGCTAAATTCAATTTTTAACAAATTCAAAATAAAATTCTCTGTGCTTCTGTGAAAAAGACAGTTAATTAAGTGGAGAGGGGATACCAGGTGCCTCCCAACTGTCCCTGACAGGCCTTCTACAAGCTTGTCCTCCAAAATAGAAATGACTGTTAAAGATGAGATAAAGGCTGCAAGTCAGCAGGTACAAAGCTTGCTTCTCACTTCAAAGCAAAACCAACAGTTACTGAAAGACTGTCTGAAAGAGATTTCTCAGTTCTCCATTTTTTCTGATTTCCAAGTTTTCTGCATTGAGTATGTATTATATATGGTCTTAGTCACTGGTAAAAATATATTTTAAAAAAATATTTCCTTTTATAAAAAGCAAATTACTCAATCATCACTTGAAAAAAAATTTGTAACCTTCTTCTTAAAGGCCAAGAAATTAATGACAAAGCATCAGCTTTATTTATGAAGTGTAAGGTTGTACTTGTCCCTACTAACACCAAGCCAGGTCCAGGCAATGGTTTTCTCAACAATACTAGCCAACAGAGATTCCTTTATAATACTGCACTCTTAAACACAACGAGATAACTCTTAACATTTTCTTTAAAGTGCCTGTCAGAATGGCTCTTAAATGTAACTGGTTAACGATAACGGAATTGTGAGCAAGTGGAAAGAAAGAAGCATCACTTTTTATGTAATTACTTTCTAGTTTTCCTTTTCTTGAAAAACAAAGGATTTGTTTCCAGCTACATTCTGTTAAAAACCAAAAACCAAACCCATTGCCATCAAGTGGATGCCATCACAGCGACCCTATAGGACAGAGTAGAATTGCCCCATGGGGTTCCCAAGGAGCAGCTGGTGGATTCGAACTGCCGACCTTTTGGTTAACAGCTAAGCTCTCTTAATGACTGCGCCACCAGGGTACAGTGTTAATAATTCTTAATTCTTAGTGTTTTGGGTTTTATAAACTTTCTTTCAAAATTCCCTGTATCCTCAATTGTTGCAACCCTCTAGCCCCAAGGTAGAAAACTACAGGAAAGTGAAGACGCTGTTTTACTTTGTGAAATTCACAAACAAACCTCAAACCAAAATAGGTTACCCAGAAAAACTGATTCCTCCTTATCCTAAAGTCAAGTTTTCAGAGTGTGCTCTGGGCACAGACTCGGAATTCAGTATAAGAGCTAGGAACCCAGTTCTTCGAAGCTTGTCCAGTCTGCTTGACTTTTTTCATTAGTAAGAGAATGGTCACAGTGATCACAGTCCAAGTTTAACTTAGGAGGGAACTAATCTTATCAGGAAATTACTTTGTATCTCAAAATGCTCCAAAAATATCACATCCTTAACTCACTTCACCTCTATTCCACCTGCTCACCTCCTCCTCCCCAGTAAAAAAATTTAACAGATGATGACTGTCTCTGAGAATAGTTTCGTTATAAAAACATTAACAGTACTATGACGTGTTTTGAAACTAAGTTTTGGGGTTCATGATTAACTTCTCTTCCATCATTTGTCTTTAATAAAATTCCACTTGAGTTGGAATGACCCAACAGCAACTTAACAACAACATACATTGCTCCGATACTTCACGTTTTTATCTCCCTCCACTAACTCATCAAATCCTTAAGGAACTGGCTGTGTCTTTTTATGGTGCCTCAGCAAACAGTAGCCATAAAATAATTAATCCGGTGACTCCTCGTGAAAAGTGCACAATTCCTCTGGCACTGCGAAGATTTTTTTTTCCATAAGGAATTTTTAGGCTACAGACAAACGTTAATTCTTCTAGAGACACTCTGTCCTTTAAAGAATACTTCTTCTGGTATCAAATCTCTCCCACATGTTGACTTTACTACCTTAAAATAGGTTTCCAGATATCTCACTGTCGCCCCAAGTACTACCTAAATAGTGCCACCCACACTTCTACCACAGATAGCCACAATGCAATATGTCCATTTTTTTTCAAAAGCAAAGCCATCCCCCACAGGCTCCCTCCAGTTTATAAATGCCTTGGGGCACATTTTTATCCTCCTCAACTGCCGAGATCAGTATGGGCTGCGCTGGTGGAAGGACTAGAACAAGATGGCGCCAGTGGAGGCATGCGCCATACGCCATGTCTTCATGCCCTTCCTCACCCTCCCGCAAAGGGCAACAGCAGAAGCAGGCCATCAAGGAAGGGTCCTTGGTCCCGTCTCTTTTCCTCTAAATGATTTAACTATTACTTTAGAACATCAGTTTGTTTATGGCCTAGAATGGTCTACAAATTAAGGGACCAATATCAGGAAATCCTGGATCTTCCATCAGATGAGCAGGCCCAGTACTCTGGTCAGTTTTTGCCTGAGTGGGCTTTCAGCCTAGAGAGATTTTTCTTATCTCTGGGGTTACAGACTCAGGCTCACGTAAACAACTTTCACTGCACAAATTAGGGGCCACTCAGCATTTCCTCACCACCAGAAGATAAGGGCGTTTGCTGTTCTTTATCTTTCATTGCAACTGCTTTGGGAGATCTGGGGAATGTAAAAAGGAAGCAGAAAATCACAAGCAATTATGAAAACTTCTCTGTGCCACAAATTTATTAAGATCTTTTTCAAAACATCTTTATTGAGTCATAATTCATATACCACAAAATTCACCCAAACTATACAATTCAATGGTTTTAGTATAGTCTCAGAGTTGTGCAACCATCACCATGACCTATATTTGGAACATTTCCATCAACCCAAAAAGAAATTTCGTACCCATTAGTAGTCACTCCCCACTCAACTCATGCCATTAATAAGATCTTAAAGTTTATATTCTAGTTGATGAATAGTCTACATCTCCCACAGAACTTAGCAAGTACTTAGAAATTGAATAAATACTTCCACTGCCATCAGATGCATATATACAAATACTGCAAATAATCTCAAAAATAATTCGTTCCAGTAAACATCACATTCAGAAACTCTGTTACTAGCATATCCCAAGATCTCCTCCTCCTTCAATAATTTAAGATTCCAGTTAAGAATAAAAGAAATTATGATATTTTAATACCACGATGTATGTTCCTAAAGCAGTGACATTTTGCTGTTACTGTTGTTTTGAAGTTTTGATTATTGTTTTACAATTAAAACATTTTAAAAAGAAGTAACAGCAGCTAAGGTGTGCATTTCAGGAGAGGGGTTCTTCTCTTTTCCCCTCCCTCACCACAACCAAGAGTAGACTAGATCTGTCTACCTGCTTCGTCTGTTAAACAGTTTTGAATTAAAAAACTAGTTATACCAATATCTGTCCCAAGAGAAATCAATTCCAAAGTGAAATGAGAACAAAGGAGAAGCGATCTTTAATTCAAAACTGTTTCATGGACGAAGCCAGTAAGTCATAACATGTAAATAATTTGTACAGCATTCACAAAATACAATTACCAAAGAAGAAAATTATTGAAATCATTTACTTGGCGATGAGAGAAGGTGGCCTTATCAGTGAATTAGTTCCAGGGGGAATATAGTTTTAATTAAAAATTAGGCTGCTAGCAAGATTATTATGTTAAAGTAGAAATGACTCCTCCCTAAATTGATTTTAGTTGGAATTACAGTAGGGAAAATGGAGGGAGAACTGGCAGCCTGACACTGGAGCAACATCATCCTTTTCCTAAGCAAACATGATCCAGATCCATGCAGAAGGAGCTCCAGCAACAACTGTCCTCCATCAACCTGGTGGTCCCTGAGGGTCAGTCTCTGAGCAGGACTGCATCGTTCTGCACACAGCGCTTCAGAATTACACTGAGAATTACATACTGAAACAGAACCGAAGTTTTCCAAGTTTCGCACAATTAGAAAATATGTGACTACTGTGGTAACCCTAACATAATTACATACTATATTCAAGGAACTCTCCCAGGGGTAAGATGAGGCAAAAGGCAACACTGAGTGAAGAGTAACAAGTCCTCATTCATCTTTGTATCCGATGTTCCCAGAGTCTGGGGGCCACTCAAGCACTAGAAGAGTAAATAAATCAGTTAATCAGTCTGTTTCACGTTCTACAAAATGGGCAAAATATTTATAAAATTGTAATCCTGATGTGTGTTTAAAAAAAAAACAAACCTGAGTACCTGCCAGGAAGAAGGCACTGTGCAGAAGCAGACACTGTGAAAGATACAGAGAGTTTAGAAATGGATAGTGTCTTCAAAGAGGTCACAGATCTAATTCTATAAACCAAAATAAAAATACAATGCCTATTAAGAAAATTAAATTATTCAATGAATAACTACAATGTTAATTCTGCCATTAGAACCACAGCTCTCTAATTTATAACCAAGATACCTCCCTTCCTCACCCCTTCAACAAAGGAAGTTGCCAATTCAAGTAAATATTAAAAAGTATGGTAATCTAATATCTAAACACCAGCTGGTCTATTTTAACGACTGCCTTAGCACCTCTAATTATTTAAAATAAGAATGCTTAACAATTTACACATAAGAATCGCCAAATCTACAATTAAACACTGAATGGTGTCTTGAAAATAACTTTTAACATAGGCATCTTCAGGGCACTATAGTCATTATCATTTTTATTGTCACTCCAAATCTCCTGAACCTGAATTAGGTGAGCTGCAAAAGTCCCTGACATTTAGTCCTCACTTAAAAAGGGGAGGAGGGCAGAAGAGAGAAGCACAGTCTCTTAAGAGTCTCTTTTTCTATAATTAGGTTTAAAGCTGTGAAATGCAGTAACACATCTTTAGTAAGTTAGCTCTGTATATGGTTATATGGCTTTTTCAAAGTGGTTAAGAGCTCGGCTGCTAACTAAAATGTCGGCAGTTCAACCCACCAGCTGCTCCTCAAGAGAAAGATACGGCGGTCTGCTTTGGTAAAGATTACAGCCTTGGAAACCCCATGGGGCAGCTCAAAAGATGAGATTTTAGACTGGGAGTTGATTTAAGACTTTTGGGATGTTATGGAGTGAATGTGTTTTGTACATGGCAAGAACTTGAATTTTGGGGGGAAAAAGGATGGAATGTTATAGGTTGAATTATGTCCCCCTTAAAATGTGTTATAAATTCTAACCTCTATGCCTGTGGTTATAATCCCATTTGGGAATGGGTTGTCTTTTTATGTTAATGAGGCAGTATTAGTGTAGGGTGTGTCTTGAATCAACCTCTTTTGAGGTATGAAAGAGATTAAACAAGCAAGTGAACAAGCAGAGATGGAGGAAGACAGATGCCAAGCCACAGGGAGATCTCCAAGGAACCACGGAAGAGAAGCTGAAGAAGGGACAAGGACCTTCCCCCAGAGCTGAGAGAGAGAGAAAGCCTTCCCCTAGAGCCAGTGCCCTGAATGCCAACTTCTAGCCTCCTAAACTGTGAGAAAATAAATTTGTTTGTTAAAACCATCCACTGGTGATAATTGTTATAGCAGCACTAGATAACTAAGGCAGAGTCAGAGTTGATGGCAACGGATGTGTACGTAACCTCAAATCCAAATCTGTATTAAACAGCAAAGCATGTATAGCAAAAACTTCTCGGCAACCACTTTATAAACATGTAAAAAATCACTGTTAGTGGCAGTGGAAGCAAAAGCCAAAGAACCTACCATACAAACAATCTCACATACACAAGTCATAAAGTTTACAGGACAGCGTGACTAAAAGTAAATACTCAGTGCAGGGACTTTCCACTGAGTGTAACACATTTTAAGCAAACGAAGTAAAAATGTATAAGAATCAATGTTAAAAAGTCAAAACAGCAGATCACTTTAGTGAAACTGTGTCTTTAATAAGGTGCAGGAAAAGGCTTTTTTAAGATTTCCTAAAACTCCTTTACCAGTAAACATTTTCTAGGTGAAAAAACAATTTTTACTTTAGCGTGCTGAGAAGAACTCATTATTCATATATTGATTAAATATTTGACTTTGGTCTTATCAATAAGCTCATAACTAAACACATTACGGGAGTGTCACGTGATGGAAACATCAAGGCAGGGCCTTGCTTTCAGGTACTGCTCCCTCTTCTGCATGGAGATGCTTAAATCTGCTTTATCAAATTTATAGACGACACCTGGGCAAGTGAGCCAGCTAACACAGTTAAGACCCACAGGCTCAAACAGGATGAACCCAAGGCGAAACTAAAATACATTTAAGGTCTACACTTGGAATGCAAAAACAACAAAATTGCACAAGTACATTATCTACATCATGAGAAAAATAAATGATTCCACTCTACTTCATGCTAATCAAACAGTGGCTCCTTGGGAGAAAAGACCTGGCAATCTGTTCCCGTAAAGATTACAGCCTAGCAAACCCTATGGGGCAGTTCTATTCTGTTACATTGGGTGGCTATGAATCGAAAATCAACCACCATTGAAGAGCAATACTGGCAAAGAGGAACAGCTTAGGGATCATAATGACGGCGTCTGAGTGGGGCAATGTGCTCAGCTGCTAACCGAAAGGTTGGAGGGTGAGTCCACCCACAAGCACCTCAGAAAGCCTGGCCATCTACTTCTGAAAAATCAGCCACTGAAAACCCTATGGAGCACAGTTCTACTCTGAGACACAGGGGTCACCATGAGTCAGAGTCAACTCCATGGCAAGTGGGTTTTTTCATATCAAAGACTGAAAACTATACAAGAGTACACTGGGGATGTTTAGTGTGGGGGGAAAAGGAAAACTGATGAGATATGAAAACTGTCTTCACAACCGTAAAGAGTATCCTCTGCCGAATGGATTAGTCTTGTACTCCCTGAAATACCCATTTTGTGAAAACTATATAGGAGACAGTTTGGTTTATTTTGCCAAAAACTTTTTGATCCTCAAAACTGTCCAATAATCACTGCTTAGAAGTTGGCAGGCTCTTTGTTCTTTAAGTGTTTAAGCAGAAACGCATAACCACTTTGAAAAGAAGACTTTTTTGAGGCATTTAACACTGCTCCCATAGCTATTAAAACGGCAGAATTTCTACCGATTCTCCTGCTCTTGAGAAGGGAGTCTGTTCTAGAAAGATGCCCTAGACCATTTTCCTCACTGATTCTTACTTGTAGGGTGGGAAGGGACTACGCATTAAAATAAACCAAAGCTTTTTAAAATCCATATGTCTGCAGCCCACCACAGAACTACCAAGCAGAAGCTCCAAGGTCAGGCTCAGTGGGTGTACTTTCACAAGAGCTCTTAAAAGCAATTTTGACACCCACCCCTGGCTAACTCTAGAGCCGTACCAGGGAGACCCTGTCCACTCCCATGGCTCCTACGACCAGTTTTATGACTCCTACATCTGTTTTCTTCAGCTCAGATCACCCTCTACACCTTTGGTTCCACAAGGCCAATATCCCACAAACTCCATCAACCCCTCTACCTCCACATGCTCCCAGCTAATCTTCCCAAAGAGCGAAATACCACAAACGCTGCACAGGCTGACATTCAAGAGACTGCTTGATTTGGTCAGGATCTGGGGGTTACCTATTTGCCAAGTTTATGCTTGTCACACATCCTATACTCCCATCGAACTCAAGAGTCTACAATTTGGGGCACAGATTCCACCTCCCGCTCCGGCCCAACTTCTCATGCCCACATGTCTGAGGTCTAGCCGATGTGCAAAACACAGCTCAAATACCTCCTCTCCTATGCAGAGCCTGGTGCCGCAGGCAGCCACAGCACTTCTGCACCTCTCCTCACTTTCTGTGACAGGGTTGGCTACATACATTTCTTGGGTACTACAGTACTCTTGAAGATATACCCCTCAAAGGGTCTAAGAGGCCTTCTCTAAAGTCACAACCTTGGGAATAAAACAAGCACGGGCTTCCTCTTTTGTCATGAAGGAGAGGAGGGGGAAGATCAGTTAAAACGATGATAAATTAGATCAGTAAATCGTAACTATGTAGAGATTTATCATTTGGTTAATTACTGCCAAATTAATAATCATAAGGAAGGAGACTAATATTGTCCTTTATAGTTAGACAGACCTAGATTAAAATTCCAGCTTCCCCACTACTAGCTAGATGAACTTGGGCAAACTACTTAACCTCTCAAAACTTTAATTTCTTCATCTGTAAAATGAGAATCAAATAACAATACCTATACCTCATTGGGTTGTGATGGAAGAGTAAATGCGCTAAGGAATACAAATCATTTAGCACAAGGCCTGATACAGAGAAGGCTCTCAATAACTGCTATAGTTGTTATTGAATCCTCAAAATGTACATATAAGAATATTTGTTTGTGTCTTTCACTCCATTTTTAACACAAGAAGAAACAGAGAAGGAAGAAACCAAACATTGATCCCTTCTGAAGTATAAGGTTTCCTATAGGAATCTGAAGTCAAATGGTTTGTTTAATATCTCAGCATAAATATAATGGAAAAAATGACTGAGTCTTTTATCCTGGAAGAAGAAAATAAGCATAACTAGGAGAAGATATTATTGGCTTAAAAGAAAAAAATAGATGAGTGGGGTTCAACTTTTTTTTGGGTGTCACTGCAACAATCTCTATGTTTAAATAAGCTGCTGAACAAAGCCTTATTATGGTTGTATATTGGTAATTTATCTTTATCACACTAATCAACAACCTTCTCCCAAGCTCCCCACTCGAAGATACAATTAAAAATCCAACATCTAAAAAAGACTGACAATACTAAGTGTTGGCGAGGATGTGGACCACATGGAACTCTCATACATTGCTGGTGGGCATGTAAATTGGTTGATCTCTTTGGAAAACTTGTTTTATCTACTAAACCTGAAAGTATGTCTACTCTATGATGCAGCAATTCCACTCCTAAATATATGTCCAAAAGAAATAAGAGCATATGTCCACCAAAAGACATGTACTACAAAAATGTTCAAAGCAGCTGGAAATAATCCAAATGTTCATCAAGAGAATGCATAAATAAATTATGGTATATTCATGTTCATCAACAGAATGGATAAATAAATTATGGTATATTCATACAATGAAATACTACGCAGCAATAAACAATTACTGATACACGTAACAACATGGATGAATCACTTGACATTGCACTGAGCAAAAGAAACCAGCTGCAAAAGAGTACATACTGAATGATTCCATTCATGTGAAGTACAAGAACAGGCAAAACTAATTTATAGTGAGAGAAGTCAGAACAGTGGTTAGACCCGTGGGGTTGAGAAGTTACTGGATGGGAAAGAGTACAAGAGAACTTTCTGGGGTGACAGACATGTTCTGTATCTTGATCTGTGGAAGAGAAAGAGAGACAGATATTAAACTGTACACATAAGATCTGCACATTTTACTGTATGTAAGTTATACTTCAACTTAAAAAATTCAAGTACCTACACAAATAAAGATGAACATTCTGTGTCTGAAGATACAATATGTTCTATTCCTAACTCAGGAGTAAAATATTTTTTTCCTTAGGATAAAGTTTTAAAAGTAGAATTACTAGATCAGGGAACAATTTTAACGGCATTGGCATAGAGAATGTAGAACATTCCTGACTCTTTACCTTTATTATAAACTCTAAAGTACTCCTGCTTTTTAATGCAATTTTAACTGATGACGATTTAGGTTATTTCCTTGAATTATAAACACCACTCCATCTGGCCTACTAACCTGGCTGAGCAAAATATTTATTTTCAGCAATGTTGACATGCAAAAGCAAAAGAACAGGAAACTATACTTCAGAAAAACAAAATACCACAATAAGATTTAACAGACTATATACAATTTTAAGAGTACCCTTAGGAATTTGCCTTTGTATGAAAGTGTATTTTCAACACAACTGTATACATGCCACAATGAATCTTTATTTAAATTCACTAGGGAACAAATACGACGCTGAACATGAAGTGAAAACTCAAATTGTCCTTCTCAGGATTAACCTGTTAGTAACCTCTGGGTGTTTTTACATAATCAGTAAAGACCCCAGAATAAAATTTGTATGCTTTTTTTTCCTATTACAAAAGCAAAACAAGACAGTTTTTTTTGGGGGGGGGTGGGGGGAGGAAACAAATTACTCTATCACCCAGAGAAATCCTTCTGGTTTTTTTTCTTAGATTTAATGATATACTATATACATGCTGCTTTAAAAATCTTCTCCTTTTAAAAATATTTTGTGGATATCTGTGCATCTTTAATAACAATAATGGCTAACACTTGCTGAGTGGTACTATGTACCACGCATATTCTAAGCATTTTACATGTATTAATTTGCTTCATATTCAAAATAACCCAAGGAGGGCTGTTAATAGTTACAATTATCAATTGCATATAAGAAACTTCCCCAAGGTCACACAGGTCTAAGTGGCAGCACCAGGATTAAAATTCATATAGTCTGGATCCAGAAACTGTATTTTAACTACTGTACTCTACATTTACAAATAATTTTAAATACTTGACTGTCTATACATCTGGTGTTACATTATACAACAGATTTAATGTTGTACCTTTAAATTGTTTCCAAATTTTCCACTATTAAAAACAATGCTTTGAGGAAAAAAAAAAAAAGCTTTGATGAAGGCAAAGTCATAGAAGCTTCATAAACCAAACAACCAAGCCCACTGCCATCGGGTCGATTCCAATTCATAGCGACCCTATAGGACAGAGTAGAACTGCCCCATAGGGTTTCCAAGAAGCGGCTGGTGGATTCGAACTGCCAACATTTTGGTCAGCAGCCAAGCTCTTAACCACTATGCTCCCAGGGCTCTAGAAGCTCCATAGACACATCCAAACACCCAGAGAGACTGAGTTACTGGGGCTGAATACTGGGGACCATGGTCTCGGGGGTCATGTAGGTCAATTGGCATAACAAAGTTCAAAAAGAAAATGTTCTACATTCAACTTTGGTGAGTGGTGTCTAGGGTCTTAAAAGCTTGTGAGCGCAACTGGACTAAACCAAAGCCAAGAAGTTTCCTGAATACAATGAAACACTGCAAGGGACAGAGTAGCAGGGGTTGGGGTCTGGGGACCATGCTTTCAGCGGACGTCTAGGTCAACTGGCATAACAAAACTTATTGAGAAAATGTTCTGCATCCTACTTTGGTCAGTGGCCTCCAGGGTCTTAAAAGCTTGCAAGTGGCCATCTAAGATGTATCAGCTGCTCCCAACCACCTGGAGTAAAGGAGAATGAAGAACACCAAAGATACAAGGAAAGTATTAGCCCCAGAGACAGAAAGGGCTATATAAACCAGAGACTTCATCAGCCTGAGACCAAAGAACTAGATGGTGCCCAGCTACCACCAATGACCACCCTGACAGGGAACACAAAGGAGAGTCCCTGATGGAGTGGGAGAAAGGTGGGGTGCAAAACTCAAATTCCAGTAAAAAGACCAGACTTAATGGTCTGAGACTAGAGGAACCCCAGAAAGCATGGCGCCTGGATTCTCTATCAGCCCAGAACTAAAACAATTTCCGAGGCCAACTCTTCAGATAAAGATTAGACTGGACTGTGGGACATAAAATGATACTCATGAAGAGTGTGCCTCTTAGCTCAAGTAGATACATGAGACTAAACGGGCAGCTTCTGTCCAGAGGTGATATGAGAAGGAAGACAGGGTTGGGAGCTGGCTGAATGGACGTGGGAAATCAGGGATAGAAAGGAGGAGTGTGCTGTCACAGTATAGGGAGAGCAATTAGGATCACCTGCCACAGTATAGGAAGAGCAATTAGGGTCACATAAAATGTATGTATAAATTTTTGTATAAGAGACTGACCCCTGAATGGTAAACTTGCACTTAAACTAGAACAATAAACAAAATAAAACAAAAAAAACCTTGTGAGCAGCCATCTAAGATATATATCTACTGGTCCCATCCCATCCAGAGCAAAGGAGAATGAAGACACAAGGGAAATAACAGTCCAAAGGACTAATGGACCACAAATACCACAGCTTCCACCAGCCTGAGCCCGGAAGAACTAGATGGTGTCCAGCTACCACCACAAGTCACTCTGATAGGGATCACAATAGAGGGTCCCAGACAGAGCAGGAGAAAAATGTAGAACAAAACTCAAATTCACACACACAAAAAAACCAGACTTACTGGTTTGACAGACTGGAAGAACTCCTGAGACTATGGCCCCTGGACACCCTTTTAATTCAGAACTGAAGCCACTCCCGAAGTTCACCCTTCAGCCAAAGATTAGACAGGTCTATAAAACAAACAATAACACACACGAGGAACATGCTTCCTTGTTCAACCATGTGTAGGAGACCAAAGGGCAACTCCTGCCCAAAAGCAATGACAAGAAGGCAGGAAGGGACAGGAAAAATAGGATGGAGGGAAAAGGGGAATTAGGGTGTGGAAGGGGAGAGCATTCACACTTCACCAGGATTGCAACCAACGTCACAAAACAATTTGTGTATAAACTGTTGAACAAGAAACTAATTTGCTCTGTAAAGTTTCACCTAGAGCACAATTTAAAAAAAGAAAGAAAGAAAGAAAACATGCTTTGATGAGCCTTCTTGTAAAAGATCTTTCCATACATCCTCGATCTTCACCACCACCCCAGGACAAATTTTTAGAAGTAGAATTGCTATGTCAGAGGACAAAGTAAATAAATAACCAGATGAGCTGTCAACTTGAGCATATTTTCATTGGCTTGCAAGGGAGCCTAATGCTGTAGAAAAGATAATTTTCAAGAAATAATTGTAATTAGCTTGCTTCAAGTATAGGAATAACAATCACTAGGTACTTCTTGAGAGTGGCAAGAGAGGTTATAGATAGCTAAACAAATGCTGGTAATTCAAGAAGATATAACTGCTTAAGCATCCCTTGGAGTCAATGACCTCTCAAACCCAGTCTCAGCAACTGTACACACTCACTGGACCCGACATCCATGGAGTTTCCCATTTGTTGTCAACTTTTACATCACCTGCTTTAACATGCTAGTCCAAACTAGCAGGAGAATGGAGACTATAAAAGGTGCACAGAACTCTCATTTGAATCAAATAAGTCAGTGACCTACCTACACTAAGTCTGCATACATGCAAAGTTTACGTTACTTCATTGTATGTTAGTGTATTCATTTCCTAAGGCTGCCATAAGAAAGTACACAAACTGAGTGACTTAAAACAACAAGTTTATTCTCTCACAGTTCTGAAGGCTACAAGTCAAAACCAAGGTGTCAGCTATTTTCTCTCTGAAGGCTCTAGAGGAGAATCTGTGCTGGGCCTTTTCCTAGCTTCAGATGTTGCCAGCAATCCCTGGCAGTCCTTGGCTTGTAGACACATCACTCCAATCCCTGCCTCTGCTGTCACACAGAGTTCTCCACATGTGTCTGTGTCTTCTTTTCTTATATTGGATTAGAATCTACCCTGATTGAGTATGACCTCATCATAACTTGATTACATCCACAAAGACCCTACTTCCAATAATGTCACATTCACAGGTACTGAGGTATACAACTTCAACATACGTTTTTTTTTTTGGGGGGGGTGGGTTACAACTGAACCCACAACAGGTGGCAAGGAGACTTTTCATGTTGGCATTCTCTCAGAAGGTCTCTGCCAATAACGACACATCACACAGCTTGTGGCCAAGATCCATGAAAAGTGGCTCTTCTATTGATTCCTGCCAGTACGTAATAAAATCTGTCCTTACAGAAATAGGATCGTGTTTGAAGAAACAACTACACCATAATAGCAAATTGTTTTAAGACCTTATTGAAGATGAGAGTTACATTAAAGTTCTAAAAAAGATGTGGAGGAAATACGAAGGAACTGATATGACCGGCCTAAAGCCAGTCCAACGGGTATCTTGGAAACCACAAACTAAACCTGGGCAACCTGGGCAGGAAGAATACGGTTGTTTCACCCAAAGGGAGCACACTAGGCTATTTCAAAAATACCCGGTGTCATGATTTATGCCATTCTTCATAATTCAGGCACCTACTTCTTCTATTTCATCACTTTGAGACTTAATGAGGGCTTAAAAAGAGATTTTAATAAATTATAGAAATTCTAAATGCCACAAAATGTTCTTATATGTTCAAAAGTCTCCTCTGCCACACTAAGCCACACTTATCATATGTCAAATTTTAAGTGGGCACTGATATACCAAAGAAAGAGAGTTTAGGAATTTCTTTTTTACAGAGAGTTTCTCATTGTGGTCACAGAGGAAGACATGCAATCGTGTATTATTCAGTTAAATGGTGGTGTTGTTAATTACCGTCCAGTCGATTACGACTCAGGACCGCACCGTGTGTGTCAGGGTAGAACTGCTCCATAGGGTTGTCAAGGCTGTAACCTTTTGGAAGCAGATTGTCAGGCCTGTCTGGGTGGGTTCGAACCGCCAACCTTTCGGCTAGTAGCTGAGTGCTTAACCATTTGTGCCACCCGGGGACTCCTCAATTAAATGGTACTTTACATGAATCTTAAAAGTTACAACCACTAACATACTATAGATATTACCAATTCTGTATTCCACTTTTTTCCCTAAACCATAAGTGCTTCATAGCTCCCTTATAGTTTCAAGAAAATACTAGCATACTCATTAAAAAGAAATAATTTCTAAATCCTCAAACTTCCCATTTGAAAGAACTGAAGAACCTACCAAAGCAGTAGCCAGTGAACATGAAGATATACATTCTCTTCCCTGTGACTGAGCCATTCCACTCTAGGATAATAACCTAACGTCTCTTTCATACCCAAAAGGATACATAAAGATGTTTACTTCAATTTTATTATTTATAGTTGAGAAAAATGGAAGGAAATAATTAAATGTTCAGCAACAGGAAAATGGATACACTGGTGTGTTCAACAGTTAAAAAAAAGAACTAGAACAACGAGAATTAATCTCAAAAACAACATTAAGCAACAGAAGCAACCTGCAGAAAAAAATATGCAATATGATACCACTGGACAAGTTTTTAAAATGTGTAAAATAACACTACAAATATAT